TTTCTCATACAATTTGTGACATAATAACAAAATACAATGGAGAAACAGCAAGTAGCATTCAAGTCAGCACAGGATGTGTTCAACAAACTTGATGTGGCTGTTAAGGATGATGTAAAAGAAGCAATTAATGCTATGGGCAAAAGTCCTGAAAGCATAGCAGCATTAGCTTGTTTGTTTGTTTTATATTTGTTTTATGTTTGTTTGTTTGTTTTATATTTAATTTGGAATGACAAATTATGCACTGGAAAGCTATCGAAAGAAAGAAAACTAGATCTGGATAACCTATTCCTATCTTTCAGAAGTTGCATTCCAAAGGAATTTCAAAGAAAGCCTCGTTCTTTCAATGATTTATGCCGCTGGAAGGCAACCGAGTTTAGGCTGGTAGTTTTATATGTGGGACCTGTTCTATTTCCTACTACTTCATGCTTCTTATAGACTTGTTTTATCGACTAAATGTCAAGCCAATTTAGATTGTGTGCAAAGTATGTTGGAAGCATTTGTACATGACTTTCAATTTATTTATGGGGAAAACAAAGTAAGCTATAATGTGCATAATCTGCTTCATATTGCAAGTAAAATTATTTGGAAATGTCGATTCCTTTTCAGCCTACAAGTATGAAAATTATCTTCAAGTATTAAAGAAAGATTGCTGAAAGCCTAACTATATATTGCAACAAATTTCCAATAGAATAAACGAACGAAATGAAGTGTTAATTGAAAATAAAATCGGCATGGGAAATAAAATAAATACCCATAGTTTGTTGTACTCGGATTCACCTTTATATGCAAACTATAACTTCAACGAATTATTTTTGAGTGTCGATGAACCCGACTGTTATTGTTGCTTCAAATCATTTGTGCCTGTAAAAGTAAGTGGATTTTTCAAAGATCAAGAAGGTCAAGAATATATTGTAGGAAAGGTTTTTCTTGATGAAAGCAGTTTTTTCTTTGAGCCTTTGGACTCAATGTCGTCTTTAGGGATCGCATATGTCAGCAATCTCAGTGTTAATGATGAAATATTTCCCTTTGCAAATTTATTAAGCAAATGCATCCTTTTGCCAATAGGAGAGAGGGAAGTTGTTTTACCGCTTTTACATCATTATTAGACAAGAGGGACCACTTGGAGAATGAAGGGCATGAGGACAAATTTTTTAACAAAATGTGCCAGGCTTTGTAAGGACAAGTTTGTTGAACTTAGATACAATATTCTATCAATTATTTAATTAATTTATTTATATGCAATACTTAAGGCCATTTTCTTGACTGTCTGTTAAAGATAACAGGTGCTTTGACTGCCTGTCAAATTTTTTCGTTCACATTCTTATAACAGGCAATCGACAAGAAGGTTATAAAGCAGACCGGCTGTAAATTTTTAGCAAGAAGTCGAGAAAACGGCCCTTAGGGTCGGTTTTTCAATGTCTGGTTACCACTACCTCTCAATTAAGCACCATTATTACTGTTTTCGCTAGAATTTCAAAACGAGGAACAAACTAAATTCATAAATGATTTAAAGGCAGATATCGCAAGCCTTAAAACCTCTTTGTCGAATCAACCAAATGTAAAGGAGCTACTGGAAGTTTTAAAGGAATTGAAAGCAGATGTATCAGCCATCAAAACCATTTCAGCAAGCCATGGTGTTGAAGCCAAAAGCCTTCAATAGTTGGGAACCACTGGTAAGTGTTCTGCACCGCTGTTCACTGCAAAGCTACACCGCTGCGGGAAAACTACCGGTGGGCTTCTTTCGAAGTTCAAGATTATTTAATGCGATGTTCGGTTTGAACTGCGGTTCTTTTTGATGACAGCAGCCAGACCGACAGCAGCATTGAGTCAGCAATCACTATTTAAGGTAATCCATATGTATATTGTGAACATCCATTCCTTTGTCCTACTTTGCTTATGTACATCGTATTTGAGTAAGGCATATAACTTCGTATATGCGCTTGCAATAAACCGTCTTACATACATATATACTTATTCTAATACAAGTGTTTATATTTCTTTTTTTCCTTGTGATACATCGTCGTGAGTTCGCACCGGCGTACGTTGGTTTTGCTTCTCAGCAAAACATTTTGGTCCTCCTGAGCCGTCGAACTCCCACGATACATAACAGCGGAAGTACATATGTACATCAATACCTAACTCTAACCCGAATTTCAGCAGAGAAGGAAGAAAAAACCCAGCAAATCTTTTTAAGAACAAAAGCCCGATCGAGGAGCAAAAGTCCGAGGAAACCACGAACAAGTCAACTCAGCTATATTAAACGAAATACATACAAACATACAGGTGCGTGTGAAAAAATTCATAAATTGTTGAGCTCTGCAAAAAAGAATAAAAAACGATAGAGGTAGAAATAAAAGTTAAAGCGAAAGTGTTTTTTCTTCTATAAATTTTCGGAAAAAATAATCAGTGCCATCTTAGTCAAGTTGTACAGGAAAAGTGCAAATATATAAGCAAAATACATAAAACAAAAAGTGCGAAAATACATAAACAAGCATATATTTACGTATGTACATATGCATAGTCGAAGCAGTGAAAGAAAATAAAAACCAAAAGAAAAATAATACCTTTCCACACAAATATATTGTGCATATCAAAAGCATATACATATTATTTAAAGTATATACAAAAAAAGCAACTCGTGAAAGTGAATGCATAAATCGAACTATAAATACATAAGTGAGTTTTCTTTTCTTTCACTTGGTTCTGCAATTCTGTGTGCAAATACATACATATGTGCATATGTGCATACAAAATTACTTGTGTACATACATTTTTATATACAGATATATGTGGTCATTGTGTACAAGAAAGTGACGTTCTTTTTGCATTTAAACGCATCTCGATAACTCAAAAGATTTAAATCGTTTCCAATTAATCAAATTATTTTGGTGGTGATCTCTTTAAAATAAAATTTTTTCGGAAAATCTTGGAGCATAGTATATTCAAATATTAATTTCGGCCACATCTATCTGTATTATTTATCTTCGAATTTGGTGTATTCCTTATTTACTAAATATATGTAAATACATAAGTTTATATACAAGTTAACACGCTGCGGCACCCAACATATTCCATTCCCACACTCTACT